TCCTATGGCTGCTTACTTTGCTATCATAGAAAGCCAATAGACCCAATAAAATTTGGAGGTGCCTGGCTCATACAAAATTATTCTACTTTTTTCCTTTGAGAAAGCTTTATTAGTGAAACCTTGTTAAGGATTTCTTTCTTTCCTCTGGTGCCTAGAATAATGCCAAAGGGTGAATGACTGACAGTAACGGAATATTTACCGAAGGCGGCGATGGGAGATATATTTTTTTAGATTGTTATCTCCACTCTACCCCTTCCTGGTGGTATCTGTCGTTAATGACTCCCAAACTGCTAGGATTTTTTTATGGCCACGAGTGACCCTGAAAGTTGAAAAGGAGGGAGCTTCTTAGGTTTTATTAATAACAGCAGTGAGAATAACAATGCTGGCAATAATAGCATTAATCAACACATACATAATTATGTAACATATAATCAACAATTATAGTACTCACTCCATATCCATTTATGTATTGCTTCATTTATGTCTCATGACTTCTCTATGAGATAGGTTCTAATGTTATCATCCTGATATTACAGATGAGGAAGGTGAGGCACAGAGAGGTTGAATGACCTATCCAAAGTCACACAGCAGTGGCAGAGACAGGATTTGAACGCGGGCAGTCTGGCTCTAGAGTTCATCCTCTTTACCACTGAGACGTGCTGCTTTGAACTCTTATGCAACCCAGTCCAGGAAGAGCCAACTGAGAGGAACAGGACACGTTCGAGAACCCTCAGAAGACCCCTGGCTCTGAACTCGTGGCCCCGAGCCTCTGGGTCTCCTCAGCAGGGGGCGCCCAGAGTCCACCTTTTCTGGGTTCTCTCTTAACCACATATGCCTGGGCTACTTACATCCAGAATGCCTGACCTTCATTAGGAAAAGCCCTGAGCTTAAAACTTTCGTCATTCTTTTATATATATATTGTTATTATTGATTTTACACAGAGAGGAATTAAGAGGGATAGAGAGTTAGAAACATTGATGAGAGAGAAACATCAACCAGCTGCCTCTTGCACACCCCCCACTGGGGATGTGCCCGCAACCAAGGTACATGCCCTTGACCGGAATCGAACCTGGGACCTTTCAGTCCGCAGGCCGACACTCTATCCACTGAGCCAAACCGGTTTCGGCAACTTTCATCATTCTTGAAGTCATTACAGGGTACTAATCAAAGGACTCACAAATACCAGTACGTGGAAATAATCAAGGGGAATGATCCAGTACATTTCTTGGAGGACCTGCAATGGATATTGATAACCACGAGCCCAATAAACTTGCACAGCCCCCCCAAGCCTATAGCAGCCCTTCCCGACTCCAGATAAGCCACAAAGACATCAGAGGCAGGGCTTTTTCTGACCACACTCAGGCTAGCCCCAGCTCTCAGGGCGCCCTGGAGCAGACCTGTCCTTCCACCTGGTTTACAAGTTTGTGTGTCCACCATGCTGTACTCAGTGGAGTGAGTGCTTAAGTGTTTTCTCTCGAGAGACCTTTGTCACAGTCTCTGCAGGACATTAGCTCAGAGGAGCAGCCAGAAGGCCAGGCTTCAATCTGCACCATAGACAGAACTGTAGACCAAGTTTGGGAGGGTTTGTACCTTCACAGGGACAGGAGAACAGCTCCGTGGGGGCCTCCGGGGCCTCCCTCTGCACTGCCCTTGTAGTGCTCTGCCATAAAGACTGGGCGAGGGGCCTAACTTCATGAGGCCTCTCACACCAGGAGCAGCGACAGAGTTGACTGCCTGGGCAGCGCAAGCTTCTCCAACGTACTGTCCATTCCCCAGCTGCCCTGAGTAGCTAGTAGGCTCAGGGCACCCGCATCAGCCTCTCCAGCGACCTCTTGGCTGTTTAAGCTTTACTATAAGAAATCTGATTCAAGATTCAATGAGAGGGAAAACGGAGAGGGAAGAACTAAAGAAGGTTGCCTGGGTTCAGATTCTAGTCCTGCCTCATGGGCTGAGCAGCCCAGGCACAGGTTCTCGTGTGTGAAATGAAGATAGTAAACCCCCCTTCTAAGGTCACGGAGCACAGAGAGTGATTTAACTCATGTACAGCTTTAAGCACAGTGCTTGGTAGTCAGAGGCCACTTGAGGGGGCTTGGCCAGCCCTCTGTGGAGAGGAATCCTTCACTCTCTCATTATTGCAATCGTTACTCCTACCAGGGCAGGTTACCCCACTCTGGGTGACTCTGGCCAACTCCTGTCTCCCCCTGGAGAACAGATGCCCCCATTCACCCCTTAAGAACAAAAACTCCCTCCTTCGCCAAAACTGGTTTGGCTCAGTGGATAGAGCATCGGCCTGCGGGCTGAAGGGTCCCAGGTTCGAATCCGGTCAAGGGCATGTACCTTAGTTGTGGGCACAGCCCCAGTGGGGGGTGTAAAAGAGGCAGCTGATTGATGATTCTCTCTCTATCCCTCTATCTTCCTCTCTGTAAAAAAAATCAATAAAATATATTAACACACACACACACACCTCCCTCCTTCAAAGTAGTTAACTAGATGCCATGCGAAAGCTTCCTCTCCTGGAATCAGGTCCCTGGGCATTTATCTCGGGACGAACTGGCTTGGCGTTGAGGTCAGTTGAAGTTCAGGAGGGCCTCCGTTCTGACTTCTGCTGTTTGTGGAATTGTGGCATCTGTAAGCCAAGGCACCGGGCCTCCAGGGCCAAGGCCACGGCACAACAATGAGGCCCTTCTCTCTTGGCCGTTTGCCTTCCGGGAGCAGGCAGGGTGTGGCCAGAACTTCTGGGTGGCAAGAGCACCAGGGTGTGGTGAGAATGCTGGGTGTGGCTGCCCAGGGTAGGCCTTGGGGAAGGCAGCCGAGAGAAGAGCCGTGGTGGCCGGGTCTGAATGCCGAGACCACCGGTGGGGCCTGCTCTGTTGTGGAACAGCTGAGGGGACTTGGGTTCTCTGTTCCTCAGACACGACAATAACAGTAACCATGGCAATAACAATAGCATGTCTTTACTGAGCACTGAGCAGCTCATGTGGCTTTCCACAGCTCCCCCTTCATCATCGAGACAGGGGCTATGTGAGGCCCGCACCAGCTCTCACAAGCGGTGTGAACTTGGGTGATTACTTCTCTGTTCTTCAGCTGCTTCCTCTGTTAAGTGGGGTGGCTAGAAGCACCTTCTTGAGGGCAGGGCTGGAGGTACCCACTCAACCCCACGACCCAGGAGCAGGAGCCCCTGGAGAGGAAGGCAGAAATAGATTATGTGATTTATTTTAGTGACTTTAGGATGCTGGTTCCACATAGGTATAAGTATGCAAAGCTAAGAATCCAGGAAAAGATTGACCAAATAAGGAATTAAAAGTAAGATTTTATATGAAAGTAGCCATCCTTGATCCTGAAAGAAAAAGAAACCAATTGGCAACAGCAGTGATTGAGCAGAGTCTTGAGCCATGGAAGGCAGTGTAAACAAAGCCGAGGTCAACTACGCAAAACATTTTATGTATCAGGGCTTTCAATCAAGTAAATAAAGCGTGGTATGTGTAAGCTGTAAGACAAACAAATGAAAAACCAAAGAAAACACACCTTTCTCTTCAGGTTGTGTAGCAGGATTTATTGAGAATGCTTTCTGGCCCACGGTACTGTTTCATTCTTTTTTTAAATATATTTTATTGATTTTTTACAGAGAGGAAGGGAGAGGGATAGAGAGCTAGAAATATCGAGAGAGAAACATTGACCAGCTGCCTCCTGCATGCATATCCCCCAAATGGGGATGTGCCCGCAACCAATGTACATGCCCTTGACTGGAATCAAACCTGGGATCTTTCAGTCCGCAGACCGACGCTCTACCACTGAGCCAAACCGGTTTTGGCTGTTTTATTCTTTTTATATGCAGTTTCTAACACAGACTTCACATGTAAGGCTTACTGCCGTTCTCCCGACAATCCTGTGAAGCAGGCTTCCGGCACTCTGAAAAAAGCAAGCAGAGCTGGATTTGATCGCAGGCTTACTTGACTCTGAATCCCAAATTCCGAACCCCACATCATTGTGCCTCACTGCCTTTCATTTACCGGCTTCACTTGAAGAAACATTGATGGAGCCCCTTTCTATGAGCCAAGCTATTGTGACTTTATTTCATTCATTGGAAATTCCAACTTAACTCAATTCACAAGCTCTTCCAACTGGCCCCTGGTCTGGGTGGGTCCTGGATCCATAGAGCAGGAGGGTGTTGGTCGTCCCCCTCAGGAGCTCGCTGGCCCATGGCCAATCTGCCAACCAAGAGGAGCCCCTGTGCCGGGATTGAGCACCTTGACGAGGCTTAAGGACTCTCTCTGCTCCCGACTCCCTGGGGACAATTTCTTGAACTTCCTTACCTCTTTGAGGGCCTTAACTAAAGACATCTACCGTGTTTTGCTTAAACTTCCCATTTCTAGGTTGAGGTTTGAAGTAGACTGTTAAATAAAAAGGAAAGAAAGAAGGAAGAGACATTTATTCTTGAAGAACTAGAAGCATTTGATTAGGGTTTGAGGAAATGAACCCCCCCCCCCCCAACACACACACACACACACACACACACACACACACACACACACACACACACCAGAATACACACCCCTCTGGGCAAGGGCCTTCTCTCAGCGGTGGGCTTTGGAAAATTGCTTCCAGATTCTAGAAGGAGGTCAGGGAAATGTCAGTCACTGAGAAATTTGGGGGGAAGTAGTTGATGAGATGGGCTATCGGCAGGTGTAACCCACCCACAAAATGTGCTGTAGATTGCTCCTAAGACAACTGGGAACACAAACAAATGAAACTCATGCATTTGTGGAAGCTTTTATAGAATACCCTACAGGCACCATGCTAATTGTGGGGATTTAAAATAAAACAAACCGGGCAGCGCAGACAAAGGCGCTGGCTGTGCGGAGGGCGCGGGGAGCCGGCGCCGCGGGCTGCACCCCACTCCGACGGGACGCTCGCGGGGAGCGAGCCGGCAGGACACCGAACCAGCCGCTCCTGCCACCTCTCTGGCTGCCCCTTGGAGCCCACCTAGCCCAGCCTGACCAATGTCCACAGCCAGGGAGCAGCCCATCTTCAGCACGAGGGCACCTGTGTTCCAGATCGACCCAGCCACCAAGCGCAACTGGATCCCTGCGGACAAGCACGCACTCACCGTCTCCTACTTCTATGATGCCACCTGCAACGTCTACCGAATCATCAGCATTGGGAGTGCCAAGGCCATTATCAACAGTACTGTCACCCCCAACATGACCTTTACCAAAACCTCCCAGAAGTTCGGACAGTGGGCAGGCAGCCGTGCCAACACTGTCTACAGCCTTGGCTTTGCTTCTGAACAGCATCTAACCCAGTTTGCTGAGAAGTTCCAGGAAGTGAAGGAAGCAGCGAGGCTGGCGAGGGAGAAATCTCAGGATGGGGGTGGGGGGAGGGGGGACCTCACCAGCCCTGCCCTGGGGCTCTCCACTCACCAGGTGCCCCCGAGCCCCCTCATCAGCACCAATGGTCCCCCCAGCGATGAGAAACTGTTCCGCAGCCAGAGCGCGGAGGCCCCTGGCCCCGCGGAGCCGGAGCGGCTCAAGAAGATGCTGTCGGAGGGCCCCGTGGGCGAGGTGCAATGGGAGGCCGAGTTCTTGGCGCTGCAGGACAGCAACAACAAGTTGGCGAGCGCCTTGAGGGAGGCCAACGCGGCCGCCGCCCAGTGGAGGCAGCAGCTGGAGGCACAGCGCGCGGAGGCGGAGCGGCTGCGGCGGCGGGTGGCTGAACTGGAGGCCCAGGCAGCCACAGAGCCCACCCCCGTCAGTCAGTGAGAGAGAGGGGCCAGGCCAGACGCTGGAACAGCTGGAGTCCTTAGTGCAAACCAAGGACCAGGAGATCCAGACGCTCAAGAGCCAGGCTGGTGGGCCCCGCGAGGCCCCTGACGCCGTGGATCGGGAGGAGACGCAACAGAAGGTGCGGGACCTGGAAACCCGCAACGTGGAGTTGGAGCACCAGCTGCGGGTGACGGAGCGCAGCCTGGAGGAGGCGCGGGCTGAGCGGGAGCGGGCGAGGGCCGAGGTGGGCCGGGCTGCACAGCTGCTGGAGGTCAGGCTGTTCGAGCTGAGCCAGCTGCGGGAGGGCCTGGCCCGCCTGGCCGAGGGTGCGCCCTGAGCCGGGCCTGGCCACCGGTCCTTGTAGGAGCTGGAGCCTGTGGGAGCAGGTTCTACACGGATGCTTCCCGTTTGGGGCCCGGGCTGGCGGCAGGCGGCCCAGCAGGCCATGTGCCCTGGCAGGGATCAGGGCTGACAGCCAACGGAGGGCCTGGCTGCTTACAGCTCGGGGGCTTTTCATTGTATAAGATTTCTAGACTCTCCACCAGGGCGGATTACATTTCTAAGCATGAAATAAATAAATAAATAAATAAATAAATAAATAAATAAATAAATAAATAAATAAATAAAAAAATAAAACAAACCCCAGGTCCTGCCCGCCAGGTGCCTCAAAGTATAATCTGGGACTAAATGTAAACAAAGAAAGGCTCGCCTAATCAGCTGAGTTAATCTGAGTGTTCAAAGCCTGGATGAACAATAAAACTGTGTGGCCAGGAGGGAGTCCTGGAAAAGGGGCCATTTGAGCTCACTCCCTTCGTGTCTATCGGTCCCCAGGAGGGCCCAGTTCCAGACAGAGTGTGAGCTGCCTGAGCTGGAGAAAGTTTATTTGGCCTCTCCATACCTGGGGATTTTGTCGCATTAATACTCACAGAGACGCTTCCTTTGTGCCCAAGGTTGTTCTAAGCATTCGACACCCCTGGCATGGATGTACTATTCCCACAACAACTTCAAAATTTGAGGCCCTGAGAGGTTAAGTAATTTTTTCAAGGTGGATCATCGCATACAGGTACGTAGTTAGGAGGAAGGAAGGGTGATCTGGAGCTAGGCCCTGTCCTTACCACATAGCAATAGTTCTTCTGCAGGCACGAAAACAGTCTTCTCATGAGTGAGTGGTTTGGGTTCTTCGGTCACTTGATCTTGGGTGGATAAGACCCAATTTAGGCATGCCTGTCATTGCAATGTAATTATGTGGCATGGAGCTTATACTCTAGTCTCACGTAAGTAGGGGCTTCATGTGTCGTATCTGTGAACCTGACTGCCTCTGAGTGCTCAGGGGAAACAAAATTCCCTACTAGGAATGCCATAGGACCCAAACCCAAAGCCAGTGACTTAGGGTCTTATCAGAAAACAGGTGGTCCAAGATCACATAGCAGCAGGACTGGGACTAGAACTGTTTCCCTGGCTTCAGTATTGGCTTTTATACTTGTAAAGGAAAAGAGAGGGGGACTTAAAATGCACAAGAATGAAGTTTTGAGAACATCAAGCCCCACTTACAAATATTTCTCTCTCTCTCTCTCTCTCTCTCTCTCTCTCTCTCTCTCTCTCAGCTAATTATTTTTTGTTTTTCAAATACAGTTCACTTACAATATATATTAGTTTCAGGTGTACACCTCAGTGATTAGACATTATAAAACTTACTAAGTGATCATCATGATAAACTTATTACTCATATGACACCATACATAGTTATTAGAATATTATTGATTATACTGCGTATGCTGAACTTTACATCCCATGACCAATCTGTAATAACCAATTTGTACTTCTTAATCCCTTTACCTTTTTCACCCATACCCTCAGCCTCCCTCCCATCTGGCAACTGCCAAATGTTCTCTGTATCTATGAGTCTGTTTCTGTTCTGCTCATTTGTTTATTTTGTTTTTTTTAGATTCAATTGTTGATGAGTACTTATTGCCATTTTATTGTTCATATTTTTATCTTTTTTTTTGGTTTTGTTCTTATTTATTTATTTTTAAAAAATAAATCTTTATTGTTCAGATTATTACAGATGTTCCTCTTTTTCCCCCATTGCTCCTCTCCACCTGTTTCCCTCCCCCACTCCATGCCATTACCCCCCCCATCCCCACCACTGTCCTCATCCATAGATGTAAGATTTTTTCAATCTCTTCCAGCATCCCCATGCCCTCTTCACCCCCAAGAATTGTCAGTCCATTCCTTTTCTATGCCTCTGATTCTATTATATTCAGCAGTTTATTCTGTTCATCAGCTTTTTTATTGTCTTGATTTTTAGATTCACTTGTTGATAAATATGTATTTGTTGTCACTTTGTTGTTCATAATTTTTATCTTTACCTTTTTCTTCTTCTTCCTTTTCTTAAAGAACACCCTTCAGCATTTCATATAATCCTGGGTTGGTGGTGATGAACTCCTTTAGCTTTTTCTTATCTGTGAAGTTCTTTATCCTTCCTTCAATTCTGAATGATAGCTTTGCTGGGTAGAGTAATCTTGGTTGTAGGTTCTTGCTATTCTGTTCTTTGAATATTTCTTGCCATTCTGTTCTGGCCTGCATTGTTTCCGTTGAGAAATCAGCTGACAATCATATGGGTACTCCCTTGTAAGTAACTAACTGTTTTTCTCTTGCTGCTTTCAAGATTCTTTCTTTGTCTTTTGCTCTTGGCATTTTAATTATGATGTGTCTTGGTGTGGTCCTCTTTGGATTCTTTTTGTTTGGGGTTCTTTGTGCTTCCTAGACTTTTAAGTCTATTTCTTTCATCAGGTAGAGAAAGTTTTTTGTCACTATTTTTTCTAATAGGTTTTCAATATTTTGCTCTCTGTCTTCTTCTAGCACCCCTATAATTCAGATGTTGGTATGCTTGAAATTGTCCCAGAGGCTCCTTACACTATCTTCATATTTTTTAATTCTTTTTTTCTTTTTTTTTTTTGTTTGGGTGTTTTTTGCTTCCTCATATTTCAAATCTTTGATTTGATTCTTGGGGTCCTCTAGTCTACTGTTGGATTTCTGTATATAATTTTTATTTTATTTTATTTTTATTTCAGACGGTATATGCTTAATTTCTAATTTCTGGCTGGTTCTCCCCCCCCCCCCCCCCTTTTTTTTTTTTTGCATTCTCATTAAGATCCTTGAAAGTCTCACTAAGTTCCTCAGAGGTCTCACTAAGTTTCTCGAAGATTCTTGAGTAACCTTAAAGCTGTGGTTTTGAACTCTATATCCAGTAGTTTGCTTTCCTTCCTTCCTTTCCTTGGTGACATGTTTCTTTCTCTTTTCATTTTGGCTGCTTCCCTGTGTTGATGGAGTGGCTTTGTGTGGTAGGTGACCTATCGGGTCCAGTGGCTCAGCCTCCCCAATCACCTGAAGTGGACCCTCTTGGTGCATCCCTTTGTGGGCTATATGCACAGTCTTGTTGTAGGTAAGCCTTGAGTATTGTTGGTATCACTGGGAGGAATTGACCTCCAGGCCAATTGGCTTTGTGCTTCCTGGATTTTCATGTTTACTTATTTTTTACCAGGTTAGAACAATTTTGCCATTATTTTTTTCAAACAGCTTTTCAAACATATTTCTAATGTACCCTGAAATTGAGGATTTAAGTAGGTATCATGCAGTTTTTTCCTTCAGTTGTAAGGGATAGGATCCCTTAGGGTAGGGACTTTGTGGAATCCCTAGATGGGCTAGAAGCCCAGGGCCTAGTGAGAATGAGGGAGGTCAGGCCCAGAGGTCAGGCAAAGAGACAAGTCTGGTTTTAGATTTTTGAGGAAGGTGTTTGAGAGCAGGTGGATTTGAGAAGCCTACAGGGCTTTGGAGAGATTGCAAAATGAGTTGAGTTAAACAGAAACTGGATGCTTGACAGGGTCTCAGAGTAATTCTCAGACTTTTTTTGTTAGAGCCTCAGGACTTTCAGTGGTTAGGCAGAGAAGGGCCTAGGGCTCTAGGGTGTTGGCTTGAGTGTGGTCTGGAAGTTTAGAGGGTTGAAGATAAGGCTGACAACCCCGCCCATTTCCAAGTCCTAGAAGTATTCGATTGAGATTCAGAGAATGCAGTTCTAGGGTCTGGAGGGGGGAGGGGAGGCTTGTCTCTGGAATCCTGGAAACCTGGAAGAGCAGAAAGCAGTCACTGTTTCAATTCAATTCAAGTAATTAAATTCAATATTGCTGTGTACCAGGTGTGGTGATGGAAGTAAAAGTATAAAAATGAACAGTTAAATTCTTTCTGTCTGCAAGGTAGAGACAGGCCCTGGCCTGTTTGGCTCAGTGGATAGAGCACCAACCTGCAAACTGAAAGGTCCCAGGTTTGATTCCAATCAAGGGCACGTGCTTGGATTATGGGCACATCCCCAGTGGGGGACTTGCAGGAGGCAGCTGATCCATGATTCTCTCCCATCATGGATGTTTCTATCCCTTTCTCCCTCTTTCTTCCTCTCTGAAATCAATAAAAATATATTTAAAATAAAATAAAATAAAAGTAGAGACAGGTAAAAACCACTATTAAACCAACATTTAATTACAAACGGAATGAGACGTGCCATGAAGACAGCTGTGACAGAGAATAAAGGAGGAGCATACTTTAGGTAGGTTCCTCTGAGGAAGTGCCTGTTCCTCCACAGCTTGAAGGATGAGGAGCCCCTGGGGAAGTGTCCTCCAATGAGCAGCTGAGCTCTCCGTGTTGCTCCCTTCTCCAGACTCAGATTCTTTCTAGCCCCCTGGCTTCATTCAGCCCTCTGATGCTTTTTTAAAAATTAAAAATATATATATATTGTATCTTCTGCTGTAGGCGGTTCCATCATACATGGAAGTGGAAGTCACATGATTTACTTTTATGCACTTTTTTCTTTTATAGCTATGTAACAGTCACAATACAATATCTTTATACAAATAAATTGATTAATAATTGACAACTTCCATAATTTTGTTCTCATTTCCAACTTAAAACTAACCAGTCTTGAAATCCAATCTAGGACCAGTGTG